TTGCAGGCATCTAACTTTTCTAAGTGATTTTTAACTTGTTCTTTTTTATCTGCTAAACCTACCCCCTTCCCATTAGCATTCACTATGTTAGTGAATGCCGGGTGCCGACGAGGGCAGGTGGGAGCGGCGCGGCCAGGTGCCGACGAGGGCAGGTGTGAGCGGCGCGGCCCGACAAGGGCAGGTGGGAGTGGCGCGGCCGGGTGCCGACCAGGGCAGGTGGGAGCGGCGCGGCCCGACGAGGGCAGGTGTGAGCGGCGCGGCCGGGTGCCGACCAGGGCAGGCGGGAGAGGCGCGGCCGGGTGCCAACCAGGGCAGGCGGGAGCGGCGCGGCCGGGTGCCAACCAGGGCAGGCGGGAGCGGCGCGGCCGGCTAGGGCATTGCTACGCTGACAGTTACAGGCAAAGACAATGCAAGCGCTGCACAGCCCCAGGACAGGGGACGCTCTGGACCCCAGCGGCTCCGCGTTAGGCCAGGAGCCCCAGGTATGGGGGGCAGCCCTAGAGGGCAGGGAGCTCACTTAGCTGTGAGTGAGCTCAGCAGCGCCTGCAGCACAGAACACGCACCAGCCGGATCCCAGGCCCTGCCTGCAGCGCTTCAGCTTTATTTCTCCAAACAGACCCGCCGTGTCCCTCCCCCAACACGGGGCTGCAGGGGCCGATCTCCCACCAGCTCTGGCCGCTGCTGCCCCTCAGCCTGGGTGTCGAGTGGAGCCAAGCTGGGGGCTGGCCCCTGGCCCAGACGCTCCTGAAGGAGCCTCCCAGCTCTCAGCCTACTGAGCACTTGCTGGCTCGCCTGGGGCCCAGGTAAGCACCGGCCCCTGAAACACCAGCCTCAGCGGGGAGGTTGTGATTAGCCACAGGGGGGCTGGCCCTGCCTCTGCTCCAGCGAGGCGACCCATGCAGCCGACCCTGCACTGGAGCAGAGCCCAGGGGGACGCTTGGGTCTGGCCCCAGGGCTCCAGCAACCACTAACAGCTCCCTCCTGCAGGAGCCCCACACCTCTAGGGCCAGGGCCCCTGCCCATCCCCTGGCCACAGGGGCAGGCTCTGAGCCAGGGCAGAGGCCTCCCACATCTGGGCAGCTTGTTGTGGGGGTGGGGTTTGGGGGGGATGGGCTGTTATTTCAGTTTGAAGGGGGGCGGTGTCAGCGCTGCGCCAGCGGCTGGTTCTCTGCGGGACGCCGCTCTGGAGCCTCTCCGGGCAGGTATTTCCTCCAGCCCCCACACACTCGGGGCTCTTCGGCTCCCAGCACTGGACTACGTGTTCCAGCAGCCGCCTCCCCGGGGCCGTGCCGAGGCAAAGCCCCTCACAGCTGGGCGTGTGGCACGACAGCCAGCCCCCATCCTCCCCCGGGGCCACATCCAGGGACTTCCCAGCCCGGCTCAGCAGCCTCTTCCCTGAAGGGCAAACGGGGCAGAGGGGCCAAGAGAGAATTAGGGGGCACCAGGCAGGGCTGGGACACGCACCCGGCAACAGGGCAGCAGAACCCGCAAACCCCATGTGCTCAGACACCCCACTAGCCCTTCGCCTGCCAGCACCACAGCCGTGCTTCGAGTCCGAAGCTGCCGTTCTCCCAGGACTCCGGAGCTGGTGCTTTCAGACAACGCCCAGTAGCCCAAGTTGGCCACCCTGGGTTTGAGCAGCCCGGCCCTCCCCTCCCTCTAACACTGTGCCCTGTTGGCACGCTGGGCCCCTCCTGGCCACACTCAGAGCTCCCTTGGCAACGCTGCCCCTTTGCTGATGGCACGAGGCCTGGTAGAGGGGCTAGGTACCCCAAGGGGTGGGGCTGGTGCTCCGTGCCCCGGCCGCATGGGCTCGCTGGTGGATGATGAGGAAGCCATTGTTCTTGAAGCCTTTCCCACACTGGGCGCAGGTAAAGAGCCTCCCGCCGCCGGGCAGGGCCTGGCGCTCCCGCCCCTCGGCCTCAGGGGCCGAGTGCTTCCGCTGGTGCATGCGCAGGTAGCCCTTGTACTTGAAGCTCTGCTGGCACTGTGGGCAGGTGTAGGTGGCTGGGGGGGCATGGCTCTGCTGGTGGATGGCCAGGTTGGCCTGGTGCTGGAAGCTGGTGCCACACTGGGGGCAGGGGTAGGGCCGGGGGGTGGCGTGCTCCCGCTGGTGGGCCACCAGGCTCTGTTTGTAGCAGAAGCCGTCCCCGCACTCGGGGCAGCGGTAGGGCTGGGTGCCAGCATGGCCGCGCTGGTGCCGCACCAAATTGCGCTTGTGGCGGAAGCTGCGCCCGCACTGCTGGCACTGGTGGGGGCCCAGGTCCGGGTGCTGGCGCTGGTGACAGGCGAGGTTCCGGCGGGACGGGAAGCGGAGGCCGCACTCAGAGCAGGCGAAGGGGCGCTCGCCCGTGTGCGTGCGCAGGTGGGCACGCAGGTCCCCGCGCTGCAGGAAGGCTCTGCCGCACTGCGGGCACTTGTGGGGGCGCTGGCCGGAGTGGGCGCGCTGGTGCACCACCAGGCAGGTCTTGTAGCGGAAGCCCCTCCCACACTGGGCACAGGCGTAGGGGCGCTCGCCCGTGTGCACGCGCTGGTGTGCCACCAGGCTGGCTCTGTGCTTGAAGCCCTTCTGGCACTGGGGGCAGGTGAAGGGCCCGGCCCCCTGCCCAGCGTGGCCTCGCTGGTGGGCGATCAGGGCCTCGTGATGCCCGAAGCTCTCCCCGCACTCAGTGCAGATCAGCAGCACGTCCCCGACACGGCCGCTCCCCGGGGCCAGGAGCTCCCCACAGCCCAGGCTCTGGGACGCGCTCTCTGCTTTCACTGCCCAGGATCCTGGCGTGTCGCTCTGCTCCTCTCTGATGCTCCAGCCCCCAGCGCCTGCTGCGAAAACAGAATCAGGAAGGAGCCCAGAGCAGCTGGGATGCAAACCCCCCATGTGGGGCCAGAGCCCCCACACCCCAGCACACCCTGCGGGGATCCCCAGCTCCACCTCACCCCCTGCAGGCACCCCCCTCCCCCTTGGCTCCCCACACGCAGCCTGTGGGCATCTCCCAACTGCTCTGGCACCAGCTGCAAGCAGGAGGTGTTGGAGTCGTTTGAAGGCAGGGGTTTGTCCTGGGAGTGGAGACGCTGGGGCACATCCAGCTGTCCCATGGGGCCAGGACTAACCCAGGGTTCGCGGCACTGAGGGCTGCCCCAGGAACTCCACGAACAGCCCAGCCTGAGTACTGCCAAGACGCCTGCTCCCCAGAAAGGGTGGGCCCGAGGCTGGCTCAGCACCCCACAGGCCAGCTCTAGCCAGGCTGCTGGGCCTGGAGCACTAGTGCGGGGTGCCCGTCTGCTGGCATTTTGCTACCAGGGCGGTGCCCCCTGCGCTGGGTCAGCATCACTCACCCGCGCCAGGAGCATCTGGGATTCCTCTGCCCCCAACACTTGGCTCCATCTCAGAGGCGCCCTCTGGGGCGGGATCTGCAGAGACACCGAGGTCACAGGCACGTTCCCTGGAGACACTGCCAGGTGGGTTTGGAGTGGGAAGGGGTGACGGCTGGAAGGTGTGACCAGGAGACGGGCAGTTAATTCACAGCTCCCCAGCCAGGTGTGCTGTGTTCCGGGCGGGTCCGGTTCAGGCCAGCAGACGAGCCGGGTTTCAAGCTCGGCAGTTCTGGTGGAAGCACCAGCCAGGCAAGTGGGCTGGGGGGAGCCGGGTGGGTGCACTGCTCCCTAGGCCCCCAAACATGCAGCAAGGGCAGCTTTGCTGTCCCAGCTACTCCTCCCCCGGCACCTGCGAGCGTTGCCCACTCGCTGCCTTCTCTAATGCGGCTCATTATGGACAGCAAAGGGCGTTTACAGAAACAAAGAGCAGTTCTGAGCCCTGGGCCCAGAACCACTGCCTCCCGCCCAGCTCCGAGCCAGGCCAGGGCACCCACTTGCCAGCACAGAGCTAGCACAAGTCTGACGATGAGATAAGACAGCTCAGCACACCCCGCAGGCTGGGAGCTCTACAAGCCTGAACTCTGCCCCACCCCCTCGCTTACCCTCCCCTTAACTCTGACCCCTCAGCCCAGGGGATCGTGGTGCTCACAGGCAAGGGTGTGTGAAGTATCTGAGATCCTCAGCCTGTGCTATCAAGTTGGTGCAGAAAGAGTTACTCTCCGAGTCTGAGCCTAGATGGACCCTGTGCCCGTATAGGGAGGGTAAATGGGGGGATACCGGGGGCTCCAGCCCCTACGAACGCAGTGCACGGGGTCAGAAAGATGCTGCAGGGGGCCAGAGCAGGTATCCCCGCTATAAGTAGCTACGGGTTCGCAGCTTGCAGACTAGCATGGAGCTTCCCCGGGGTCAGAGATGTCAAGCTGGGGGACCGTTCTGCCATCCCACTCAGCCTCCCGCAGAGCCCAGGGCAGGGCTCTCCCCCAGGCACTCCTGCACCCGGCCCAGCTCGGCCGACTGAGCTAGAGCGGGGCTGTCAGAAAGACGCTTGGCCTGGATTCACTGACATACACTCCCCCACCAGCTCAGCTGTTCCAAAGGGAGTGACCCTCCACGGGGAAAATCTGCTCCTTATTCCCAGCCGGGACAGCTCTCGTCCAGGCCCTGCCTGCCAGAGCCAAGGGCCGCCTGCCGCAGAGCCCCCTCCCCTGCCCAGACCGGGCTCCGGGCACCTGCAGCCCGCGCTC